TTTCAGCTGGCAACGGCGGATGGCACGGTGGATTGTGTTCACTGACAATGCTTTCTGGAAGTATTCCTGAGCCCATTCTGTTATTTCCTTGACAGTGGCATTCCTGTTTGAGGTGCAGTGACGTTTAAGGGCCCGGAGATCACGAGCATCCAGTAGAGTTTTACGGCCTTGACCCTTACGCACAGCGATTGTTCCAGATTCTCTGAATCTTTTGATGATGTTATGCACGGTTGATGATGATAACTTAAAAGTCTTTGCTATTTTACGCTGGGTAACACCATTCTGGTATTGCTGCACTATCTTTCTGCGCAACAATGGTGGAATTGGTGATCCTCTTACCATCTTGGCTTCTGAGAGACACTGGCTCTCTGAGAAGCTCTTTTTATACCCAATCATGTTGTCAATTGACCTAATTAGTGTTAATTGGTCTTCTAGCTGTTCGTTATATGCTCAATTTCCTTTTTCCAGCCACTTATTGCTACTTGTCCCAACTTTTTTGGGATTTGTTGACACTGTGAAATTTTGAATCAACATATTTTTCCTTTAAAATGTTACATTTACTCAGATTAAACTTTTGATCTGCCATCTATGTTATATTACGAATAAAATATTGACATTTGCCATCTCCACATCATTGCATTCAGTTTTTATTCACAATTTGTTTAGTGTCCCAACTTTTTTGGAATCCGGTTTGTATATTTATATATATATATATATATATATATATATATATATATATATATATATACACATATATATATAAGGCATTTTAAACCCTTCTGACACTCTTGCAATATTCTAAACAATGTTTCTAAACTCTCAACGCTCTAAAAGAACACAGCATGTCATGATTTCAGCTCCCTGCCTCCTCTGCTCTTTGCCACCTGCAAGCGCTCTTGGCCATGTCCACTTCTTCACTGCACTCTGAACAGCTGATCATGCACAGAGAATAGCTGCTCAGCTGCAGCAGGAGGTTTATCCTGCAATAAGGGCTGCACAAAGGTGCAGGAGGTGCTAAATCATTTTAAATAATTTATTTCAAATAAAAATTCTATGCCTATCGTGCGGCTCATCCATCAGTCAGCCAATTGTGTGTCATGTCCACTCTTATTTTGAAAAAACACGATAGAGCGAGTCCGCGATAAACGAACTGCGATGTAGCGAAGGGACTACTGTACGTCCTTAAAGAGTTATTGGGGAAAACAAATGAAGAAAATTATTTAATTTGACCTGCATATATTTAACTTCCAATAATATTTAGATCTTTTGAGTTTTGTAAAGTTTTGTATTGGTTTAGAAAATTTTACAACTGCTGAAAACTCACAAAAAAAGTGAGCAGATTAGTGTCACGATTGTCATTTTTATAGATGTTATCTGTCTGAAATACGTAGTTTGAATATACAAGTCACTGCATGATAATCTTCACATGAGTACTTGGCTCGTACAAATTCACACAAACTCACAAGGAAAGATTTAAACCAATGGGGATCTATTTATTTTAAACTTTCTGTAGTGAAGGAAGACCTGGAGCAACTGGAGCAAGATACTTCCTCCACCCTGCAAAAAAAATGGTGCTCTTAATAGCCTTGTTCAGCCTTCGTACTGTAATTCTTCGAGATCTAGTGTCTGTCTGCCTGCTGGGCATCGCACACCGCTCTTTTCCAGTAAATCACCGCGCTTGTTGGAAGTTGGGTCGCACTCATTTGGTTTGGCTTCGACAGGCTAAAAGAAAACTTGGCTCACGTCTTACTGAAATATTTTTTAGGACCCATTCTGCCTTGTGGGTGATAAGGAGCATTTCTTTGGGATGATGGGTCGGATCTATTTTTCATGTCATGAATGTTTCACCCACCCCATATATTTTATGCGTTTTGCTGTTCTTTTGTAAGAAGTCGTTGAATGAATGATTGTAGGATACCTTATAAGGGGTTGTGATTCACTTTGTTTGCTCAGCTCTGCAGAACAAAGCCCATCTGAAAACTCTGAACCTTTTACAACAATCATTCCTTGTGCAGTGTCAGACAACCCGTACCCTAAAGAAGCCTTCTCCATCGGCACGGAGCGGGATGGGGAGAATGCTGTGGGGGGTCTTGTTGACGTGAAGGACATGGATGAGTGCCTGATTTATGAGGGCAACATCTGCCACCACAGATGCATCAACACGCCTGGCTCCTACCGCTGTGAGTGCTTCCCTGGGTACGTGCTGCAGGAGGACGCTTTCACTTGTGCACAAGGTAAAGTCAATCAAGCTTCCTGTGCCACTTTAAAAAAAATATACATTCTGTATCCATGTCAGAGTATTTGTCTACACAGTCGCTTTTTAATCTTTTTTTCCTGACTTGTTTGAATTCCTTCCTGTCTGCAAGACCCAACACAGCTTAATTATAATTATTCTACTTGTAAACCAACATCCCTTTCCTGGATCCTACTCGCATAGCTGCCTTCATTTTGTTCCAGACTTTAGCTTTTGTCTTTCTTGAGCCAAATAATTTTAATCAAAGAGTTTTGGAAGAGGTACAGTTAAGGGATATTTTCAAGTCCTGCGCAACGAGCCAATCAACAGTCACTTTTACCAACCCAAGCCTGTTTCAACAGGAAGCTAATGCCAAAGATGTCAGCAAATTACAGTGATGTACGGGCACCCTAATAAACCTAAATGCATGTCTGAAGGCAGTGTTCCTGCCCCGCCTCCGCTGCTTTTACAGCTTTCATCCGTAGCCACTAGCCTCACATTGTTGAATGAAAATCCAAGTATTGCACAAATCTCTAAGCAGAGGACTGCAGTAGATGACGTAGAGGTGATTACAGAGCACCTCGTTGCTTCTGGTCTGACATTATTCATGCCTGCGCAGAGCTCGTGGATGAGGAGAACAGACTGCGGGAGGATGATGGAGAGGAGACAACCTCAACGCTTGCAGCTCACTACCAGCCTGCTGCCCCACTCAACCCCTGTGAAGGTTAGATATTCAACTTAATGAGGCAATGAACAGCGCACAATGAGTAATTTCAGGTGGTGGGTGTGTTGTAGAATTTTTGTATTAAAATTCATAGAAGGATCATTTTGCTGCTCTTGTCTGGACTCCATGCCACCCCACTGTGGGCCAAACAGAAGCGCCAAAAGTCATTGCTGAAGCTGAGTTGTTGAAGATAAAAGAAGCACTTGTTCATTTTCCACACAAGGCTTCAATGTTCTCCTCTTTGGGGTGAACGCTGCCGTGTGTAAAGCAGCGGTACATTAAATGTATGTGTCTTGACTGTGCCCTAATCTTCAGGAAACAGCATCTGTGAGCAGCAGTGCACCCCGGTGGCTGGAAGGCCACAGTGCTCCTGTTCACCAGGCTTGTCCCTCGGAGCTGATGGACGCTCCTGCGAAGGTAAGGAGCTCAAACCTGATGGTAAAGCAGAAGGTATTTTGAAGTGTTCAGTCGTGACCGACGTGACGGATACACTTTGAAATTCAGTCCTCATCCCAGTTTTCTCTTCAAGCCTGAGGAGTTTGGTTCCAGCCGAGGAGGCCCTCTTGGCGGGACCGTCTGCCGCTGATTTGTCTCTTTCACTCATCAGCGCCTCCAGATTTGTGGAGCAGATATGGCTCTAATCCCCCTATGGAAGAAGTTTTCATCTTATTCCCAATCCAAGTATATACCAGAGAGATTATCTCAACAATCCATGCATTATTATGACAACCTCACCCACTCCATACCATACATGCTCATTATTTTCCACTCAGAGCTGTGGGGTTTTATCATTGGTCCACTCAGATACTAAACTGTATGTCTGGGCTGTGTCCGAGGGGGAGGGGGGGTTAATCACAACCAGTGGTCTGTCTGTGGTCACACATTATCAAACTGTTGCTGCGAGACAGAAAGAGGCTCAGTGTGGTGGCAAGTTATTTTATTGTGAGCGGTGGTCTTGTCCTTAATCTTTTTCTTGGATGGGGTTCTGACTTGTCTCTTCAATCTGTTTCCACTTGATGTTTTTCGCACATCTTGTTCACTGTCCCCCCCCCCCCCCCCCCTCCATCCTCATCTTCCCCTGCGCTCCTCACTCACACATCTGTCTTGATTCTTTCCTCCAGACATAAACGAGTGTTTGTCTCCCCGTACCTGCCAGTTTAATGAGCTCTGCGTGAATACTGCGGGGAGTTATGTCTGTCAGAGACTGATCACCTGCCCCCCTGGATACCAGATCAACGGTGACATTTGTGAAGGTAATCTGCACCTTATCATCAAATAGCATCGATGTGATCACTTCCACCCACTGTGAACAAGTTAGTAAGGGCCACAATGCAAGGAAGGTGCATCGCTCAAGAAGAATTACTAATCCCACCCCCAGAGTTAGTACTGAAAGTCTGACGTTTTAGAAACCCCTCACAATTAGTGTTCATACCATATCATACCATACCGTACCCCTTTATTTATAGACAGTGGTGGAGAAAGAACTCAAACACTGTACCTAAGTAAAAGTACAAATAAACACACAAAAATTTAATCTAATAAAAGTAGAAGTACCACATTAACATTTTTACTCAAGTAAAAGTAAGTAAGTACTTGCTTTTACAAATACTTAAAGTGTTAAAAGTAAAAGTACTTGCTGAATGCATTACCTAATTCAGTGGTCTACAATATCATTGTGTGCCTACCGTATGTATATTTTCTGTAATACATTAATAGTGTTGTTCCATTTTAATGAACAATGCTGCAGATAATACATGTTTTTATTGTGTTTACTCTGTGACACAGTTCACACTTAGACTTGTGATTCTGTGCATCAGAATTTCAGGGATGACCTGCAGAGTTAAATGTCATTAATCAAAATAAGAAAGAGGAATGAATATACCTTTGAAAGTTTTTATTTAACACAAAGCAAAACCAATGTGACATTTTAACTTCAGTAAACACATTTAAGTAAAAGTTGTCAGCCTGAAAAAAGGGGCATTAGACCTGACAAAGGAATATCTGATAAATTCAACTCCAGTTTGTCATCAACTCCAGTTAAAACATTGTTCAGTCAACCTTGTAATGGGTCAACAGTGAACAATGTTTTAACTTCCTGACATTATTTTTAAAACTTGGACCTGAGTGTCGAGTCATTTGGAGACATCTCTTGTCTCCTAACATCATGAACTGACACATTTTAATATTGCAGCAAGAATTTCTTGTTCAAGTTCAGAAGAAGTTGGTTTTCAAAGTAGACCAGTTCTTTTGGGAGAGAGAATATGTCATGCTGTACTGAATAGTCTTTCAAGTCTTTCAAGAGTCATTTAATAATCTTTCAATAGTCTTTCATATAGTCTTTCAACAAGACCATGGGTGGTGTGTATCTTCTGGCTGACTGCAGTGGAATCCATTTTGCGTGTGTTAGCGGTGCTGTGGGTGCACCCAGCTCAATGACGTATATAGTAGAATATACGTCATTGAGCCAGCTCTTCTTGAAGGTGGGTATAACGGTACCTGCCTACTTTGCAGTGATTCAATGGATCAACTCCCCTCTCACCATTAGTTACTTTCAAACTAACGAACAAATCAAAAAACTGCAACGTGGATGTAACTTGGAACGCAACACATTATAGAAATGTAGAGTAGAAGAAAAGACAGATACTTAATGTAAAATCTAGTGCAGTAAAATTTGGAAATACCCATGTTTAACTGTACTTGAGTAAAGTACAGATGCATGAAAAATGTACTTAAGTACAGTAACAAAGTACTTGTACTTTGTTACATCACACCACTATAGAGCACTTTAAACAGCAACAAGGCCAACCAAAGTGCTGTACAGCAAAACAAGCAAACAAAGCACACAGCATAAAATAAAGTAAAGTAAAATAAAAATATAGATATGAATGTAAGAAGATAATAACTAAATGGCTAACATTATAGAATACAGACAGGTTAAGAACAAATCACACTGTGTCAAAAGCCAGGGAATAAAAGTGGGTTTTTAAATGAGACTTAAAAACAGTGATAGAGGGAGCCTGCCTGACATGCAGTGGTAACTCATTCCACAGTCTTGGACCTGCAACAGAAAAGGCCCTGTCACCTCTGAACTTACGACGGTTTCCTGGAACCGAAAGAAGAATCTGACCTCACTGGCCTCACAGAGCACTGAGGGACATATGGCTGCAGCAGATCAGTGAGATAAAAGGGGGCAGAACTGTTCAGTGATTTAAAAACCTACAAAATGATTTTGGACTGAATTTGAAAATGCACTGGGAGCCAGTGAAGGAAGGCCAAAACTGGTGTAACATGCTCTCTTTTGCCTGTACTGGTTAAAAATCGGGCAGCAGCATTTTGGACCAGTTGTAGTTGTGCAATGGAGGTCTGACTGATTCCAAACAGAAGTGCATTGCAGTAATCAAGCCTGGATGATATGAAAGCATATAATACAATCTCAAAGTTATTTTTGGACGGTATGGGCTTCAGTTTAGAAAGTCGCCTCAGCTGAAAAAAAAAAACAGGACTTAACAATCATGTTTACATGACTGTTAAGTTTCATGGAAGGATCCATTGTCACTCCCAGATTAGTGACTCTTTGTTTCTCTAGCGGGACTAGCGAGGAAAGGTCGATACCGTGGTTCTTGATCGTGCCATTAGGAGGAAAAAACATGACTTCAGTCTTCTCATTAAATCTTAAGAAATTTAAAGACACCCAGTCCCTGATGTCAGCCAGACAGTCAAGAAGAGGTAGAATAGAATGTGAATGACTATGCCTTAGAGGGAAGTAAATTTGACAGTTATTGGCGAAGAAATGAAAGGGTATGTTATGTTTACGGAAAATAGCATCTAGTGGCAGCAGGTATAAAGAAAAGAGGACCGAGGATGGACACCTGCGGTACCCCCCACAGAAGAGTTGCCCATGATGAACTAAAATCCTTACTGTTAACAAAAAAGGTTCTGTCAGAGAGGTAGGCTCTAAACCATTTGAGGGCTGATGACCACCCACTGCTCCGGCCTAGAAATGAGGATCTCGTGGTCGATGGTGTCAAAAGCAGATGTAAGGTCTAACAGGTCAAAAAGTACAGAATAACCTGCATCTGTGGCTTTGAAAATGTCATTAAAAGCTTTCAATAGAGCAGTCAGTGCTGTGGAGAAATTTAAATCCAGAGTGGAACACATCTAAGATAGCATGATCCTCCAAGAAACATTTAACTGGGACTCAACTATTTTTTCCAGTAGTTTTGAGACAAATGGGAGTCTAGAGACAGGACTGAAGTTGGACATGACTGAGGGGTCAAGGTTAAGTTTTTTCAGCAGAGGTTGAACAGCAGCATGTTTAAAACTTTTTGGCACCACACACACCTGAGGATAGACTGCTATTCACAATAGAGAGAATAGAGGGACCCAGAATAGGAAAGACCTCTTTTAGATGTCGAGGGGGAACAATATCAAAGGGGGAATCAGATGGTTCATGCCATTTTATGAGCCAGTACACATACAGTACAAAGGAACAATGAACTATATTTTTAAACAAAAAATAAATAAATAATGGTGGGATACACATAATCTGCCTGTGTGTGTATTTCTGTCTGCCTGATAGCAAAATATCTCATTAACTTGTGCATGAATTTTAATGAAACCCTTGTAAAGTACTTAACGGATATGCATCTTTTTCTTCTTCTTCTTTTGGCTTTTCCCTCTTCAGGGTTTCCACAGCGAGTCATCCTCCTCCATCTCAGTCTGTCCTCTGCATCCTCTGTCCTCACTCCAACTACCTCCATGTCCTCTCTAACATTCATTCAACCTTTATTTATACAGGTTAATCCCACTGAGCCTCAGGGACTCGTTTACAAGAGAGACCTGAATGGTCTCTAATAGCCTCCATGTATCTCCTCTTTGTCTTTTTCCTGGCAGCTGCATTTCTAACATCCTTCTACCAATATACCCACTGTCCCTCCTCTGGACATGTCCAAACCATCTCAGTCTGGTCTCTCTAACTTTATCTCCCAGTTGTTCAACCTGTGCTGGACCTCTGATGATCTCAGTCCTAATCTTATCCATCCTTGTCACTCCTAAGGAGAACCTCAACATCTTCATTTCTGCTACTTCTACTTCTTTCTCCTGTCTTTTTATCAATGCCACTGTCTCCAGACCATACGAAATACTTTGTCTACAACTGTTTAATTTAGTCACCAACCTGATTCAAGATGACCGCCACAGCTAAGCAAACTTAGCAAACATAAAAATGACAGTAACAGTCAATTTTACAGACACTGAGGTGGAATTTGATGTGGTTGTAGCTCATAGTCATCCCAAATTTAAACTCCAAGGGCTAACATATTGTGGGTAACATCATTTGTAAAATTTGACCAAAATGACTCCACTCCATCTCTTCTCAGCATAAAATGATATTAATTTAAAACTCTGGCATGAACAAAGGTGGGTAGTTTGCATTCCTTCAATTAATGCTAAACTTTTCTCTTTTTTCAACCTTTAGAACAGGGGTGTCTAAACTTTTTCATATGTAGATCAAAATTGACAAATTGAAAGTTCTTTCAGGCTACAAATTTGAATTTATGATTTTTTTAAAAAAAGCATACCTATTTTTGTGGAAAAAATAAAATAAAAATCCAACAACAATGCAAGCAATATTTTGGAGAGAAAAAAAACAAACGTATAGTAATTTAGGTGGAAAAGGATTTCTAAATTGTTGGTAGATCCAAAACATAAAAAATCCTCGTAGACATTAACCTTTTTTTTTTCTTCTTCTTTTTTCTTAAGCAGTTAATTCCTTTGTTTCATTGGGTTTTTGATGATTAAGTTAAACTTGGTGCCAAGTCAAGGATTCCTGATATTTTTGTTTTCACTATGAAGATGTTCGAGCCTAAGTGGCTGTTTGTTTAAAGTTAATATAATTTTTTTTTAAATAAGGGGCAGATATTAAGAATTTTTTCCTCTTTCTGCACCCTTTTCATTCAATGTTTTTTTTTCCTTGTTGATGAATTTGTTTTGCTTATTTTGTTTCTTTTAAATGAATGAATAAATTAAATAAATAAATAAATCTGCATCAAAATCTTAAGCCTGTGGGCCAAAATTATTCCATTCTTAAATTGCCGTTGTAGGCCACTCAAAACCACTCCAAGGGCCGCAAATGGCCCGCGGGCCACACTTTGGACACCACTGCTCCTCCAGGAACTGGATGATGTGTCATTAAAGATGGTGCTCTGGGCTGTAACAGTAAACTTCTCCATCCATCTCATTATTTCCAGGCCCGGTGAACTGGCTCTGTTCAGACAGAACTGCAGCCACTTTCAGGATGAAGGGCGTCCATGACGAGCGGCTTTCAGACGCTCTGCTGAACCTGTATAAATTGTTCAGCTTTTATCAAGTGATTCACACTCACATCATCAAAAATAGTGTTTCAAATGACACTCCTTCGCCTCTCTAACCCTGAGAATGCACTATGTGTGATTTAAAAACAAAACCTCTTTTTTTTTTTCCAGCCACAGAAGTGTTCACGTTTCCTTTCTCTCAAAAGAGCTCTGACCTAGAAAAGACAAAAGTGTTTCTGCATCTTCTTTCCACGTACTGTAGCAAGTCTGTTATTTTATATACAAAAACTGTCAAGACTTCTAACAGTGTGAATGTTTACATCTCTATTATGCACATTTACTGGGAAAGAAATCTCATTTCTACTTCCTTCTTCTTCTCGTTTTGTCTTCACCTCTCAGACTCACTCAACAGTCTGCAGCTCACTTTGTGTCAGGAGTGAGATGCTACGCCGCCCATTAGTGAACTTACAGTACGCCTGTCAAAGCTGCTGTAGGACCCTTCATAGCGTTGATGGTGGCAAAAGCTCTGCAGATAATAAATAATAAAGTGATATGTGTTGTCATCATTGTTCCCATACAATGATAGTTCTCTGCATTTAACCCATCACACATGAGATACACCCAGGTGGAGCAGTGGGCAGCTATGTAAGCGCCTGGGGAACAATTAGGCATTAGGTGTCTTGCTCAAGGACACGACATGTGGGCATGTCAGGGAGTTGAACCTGCGATGTGTTTTGGATTTAAAAAGGAATGGTGCATTAGTCACATACCAGCTCATAGACTGCATATTTTCAGATCTCCACGTTGTGTTTGTGCTGTAGTAACAGATGCAGAGGATTGATTGAGAAAAAGTGAATCTTTTACAGAACAGGTGGAGGGAAAACTCTCGGGGAGTGTACGGCATTGATCGCCGACACTCCGAGCTGTAAGATCGATCCTTTGTGAATACGGTTGTGTTGACTCATTAGCCGTACGCGTCTAATTGAAATATTAAGCTGTTGTTCAGGCTGTTTGGTTGTATTAAAATTGATTAGTAAAGGTGTTGTGAAACAAGCTGTCTGCCGCTTCACCACAGTGCCATCAAGTGGAGAAAGAGGTGCTTTCTACACATTGTAAGGATTTATTCACTCTTTCATCCTGCAGATATCAACGAGTGTGTACAGGGACTCCATAACTGTGAGGCTGGGCTCGAGTGTGTGAACACAGAGGGGTCGTTCAGGTGCAACCCCAAACCCTCCTGCCCCGCCGGCTTCACACAGGACACACACGGCAACTGTGTGGGTAAGACGAACACAAACATGCACGCACATCTTATCTTTAATTTCTGTTAAATGATGTATAAAACAAAGCAAAGAAAGCATATCTCCGCAAGGATTTACTCTTGAACAAGTTCAACAGGAAAGGTGTGTGTATACAAAGTACTTAATGAATATAATATAAACTTGAGTCTTTTTTTTTGCCTCAAAAGACTTCTTATGGTTTGATTTATGGTAGTCTATCTCTTTATTTCACAACTTTAAAAAGTATTAATGGTCAAAATCACTAATAATTAATTAAAAGCCTTGCATTTCTTAAAAGAAAACCTGTTGCCCGCCACCTTTCCTGCCAGAGTTTAAAACTAAACTTCTTATTTTGGTAAATGGTGAAGTTGTTGTTTTGTCACACCTTGAACAGAACGTTAAACTCATTCTAATGCAAACATGCAGCATCTCACATGGGCTGTTAGCACCGGTTGTATAGTCGTGAATCACTGTCAGCAACTACAGTACCACACAAAACTTTAGATCAATATCTGTAAAACTGACAGAGCGAGAGAGACATCATTATTATTAATATTTGGCAGCCATCTTGAATCAAGTTGACTCCAACAGGTAATCATTCGTAGACAAAACATCCCTTATTACTTTCTGCAAGTTTCATTAAATTTGATCCATTGTGTTGAGATATTTTGCTTACACAAACAAGCGCGCACACACAATGCTTCTCCGTGTCTGCTCATATCCAGCAGTCACTGTGGAAGAGGCGGGGGACACCCTGGACAGGTCTCAGGTCCATCACAGGGACACATAGACACAAACGAGACAAACAACCATTCACTCTCTCACTCACACCTAGAGACAATTTAGAGTTACCAATCAGTCTAACATGCATGTTTTTGGTCTGTGGGAGGAAACTGGAGTACCGTATTTTCCGGCGTATAAGTCGCATCAGTCAAAAAAAACATCATGAAGAGAAAAAAACATATATAAGTCGCTTCGACGTATAAGTCGCATTTATTATGTGTCACCACTGACCCGTCGTGTTTAGTTAATGGTGAAAACAGCTTTACTTAACCTGGGCAGTGCGGCGCCATCCATCCATCCATCCATCCATCCATCCATCCATCCATCCATC